GGCTGGGCTTGGAGCGACCTGGGACAGTGTAAGGTGTCCCTGCCCATGGCAGGGGGTTGGAACAAGATGGGCTTTAAGGCTCCTTCCAACCCAAACCATCCTGGGATTCTGTGATAATCCCCACAAAACTCAGCGTGTCACAGCCCTGCTGCAGTCCCAGCCCCTTTGCTGCCTCCCTGCCAGCAATTTCCTACGGATCTGGGAGAGTGGGATGGCAAATGATGCTCCTGAGCTCGCTCTGGAGAGCTGGAGTGCAGCATTCCAGCGTGTGCCATCCCTTCATTTCACAAGGCCTATCAAAGCCTGGCATGCTGTAATTACATGGCAAATTAGGGGCCACTCCATGTAACAACACTGTAATTACACATTTGGGACGTGCTCTGGGGAGTTTATGAGGAAAAAGTGGATGGGATGGGGCTTTGCTCCAGTTTCCTGGGAGTCTCACTGCCTGTACCCAGGTTAAAAACCAGGGCTGCCCTGCAGTGGGTGCATCCCTGAAGGACAGGGCCATGGAATTGCCCCTTTCCACCTCTTTTCATATCTTTGGTGTGAAGTTGGCACAATAAAGCTGGGGCTGGTGGCAGCCAGGTGCAGACAGTCCCCCCTCATTCCCCCATCCCGGCTGGATACCACAGTAATGGGCATTCTGTGAGTGCATAGGAAGGTAATTGCTCTTCTCCAGTCCAATTCTCACCTCCTCCGCAGGCAATCAGCATCCAGACTGCGAGAGGAGCCCTGAGAGGAGCCCAAAGCTCTCCATTTATCAGAGTCTGATGATTCCAGCCCACCCCGAGCATCTACACCAGGCCTAGCTCTCACCTCAGCTGTTCAAAAAGCATTCCCAAAGATGCCGGGTGCAATTACCTGCATCCCTGAAACCACCTCTCAGTGTTTGTTTCCTCTCCCAGGCTCTGGAATTCTGTGTGTGCAGCAGGTGAGGACAGATAGGGGCTCTCCCAGGGGAGGGACAGGGGACATCCCAAAGCAGAGGAGATGCTGATGTTCTCCTGTTGTGTTTTATCCCACATGGAAAGCAAACCTGACCATGCAAGAGCCATCTCTTAACAGCAGCAGGGAAACTGAGAGCTGTGCCAGGATAACTCAGGATCAAACCTTCCTTTTGGATGAGAAGAACACTCCAAGTCCCTGGGCACTTTCATCCCAACCTGCACAGCAAAGTGACCCCCCTGGAACAGGCTGATCCAGCCGGGACCCCGTTCCAAGCACATCTTTAAACACCTGGAAGCCAGGAATGGCTGGAAACTTGCCCTCCCCAGACAAGGCAGAGTGCAGGATGAAGGATCCCATCCTAAAACCATATAAAAGTCACACTCAGACCGTGCCATTTCCCTGCAGTGGAGGAGGGTCTGCATTTGCCATCAGGGCTTTAAATGCAAACTCCCTCATTTGCCTGCGATGAAAACGAAAGCAGAGGACGGCAGCAAAGCCTGACCCGGCTGTGGGAAGGGGAAAGCAGGTCCTACATCCAAAAACACACTGCATGGAAGCTGTACAGGAGCTTCCCTGTTCCCTGCACCACCTCAGCAGGAGAACCAGGGAATGGTTTGGGTTGGAAGGGAAAATCTTGCTTCAGCCCGACCCGACGTTGTCCCAAACTCTAAACAGAGGGAAAGGCTCTTGCCAGATAAAAGTACACCCCTGGGATGCCACCCACGCACAGGCTGATGGAAACAACGTGTCCCTGTCCCAGCTGGCCTCGGGGTACGGATGGGAAGAGCTGAAAAGTCAGGATTTCTACACTGCATGTGCTCAGAGTAAATCCTTTCTTCATTCCAGGCAGGAACAAATCCCCCGCTGCACCCAGAACACACCTCCAGGGACAGGGGGTGGATGCAGGACGGGCAGCTCGGCATTCCTGCCTCACCTGGGATGTCCAGCACCACAGCCTGGAATTACAGCCCTTCTGCAGGACCTCGTGGGACGCTGTGGGGCAGCAATTCAGCAGCCTCCTCAGCAAGAAATGAGTGTTTGAGAGTCCCAGTTACTCCCCAGGGCTCCCAGCAAGGGCTGGGGAGCTGTTTTCCACTCTGAGCACAGCCAGCAAACAGAGCTGGGCACAACTGCAGCAAACAAACTGATTTGTGGAGGGCAGCCTTCACCAGCCCTGGACTGAAGTTCCCCTTGGGGCTGAATTTTGCATGGTTTGGGTTTTTACTGCCTCAAAAAACCCTACTGGTGGATCAGCCATTTATCCACAACCAATAGTGATGCTTCCAGCCACTACACCAGATCCTTATAAAAACATCCGTGCACATACAGTTAAAATATTCTGTATTAAAAGAGAAGCCCACACCGTGGGGTTTTGGCTCCTGACCCACACATCTCACTCCCAAATTCTTGCTGGTAACAGGGGCGGGTGGGGGTGGATTTGGAAGCTTTGTACAGCTCCACATCCCTTTCAGGTTATTTTTAAACCCCTTGGACACACTACAAATCCCAGAGAACTTTCTGCACGTGTGGGCTGGAGCAGGGGTTGGTTTCAGGGAGGTGGGGAGGGGGATGGACTGTGCAGAGATGCAGTTTTATGGGGCATCAAACACCTGGCACATTAAACATCCTGCCCAATTGAAAACCTGTGGCTGCAAGGACTCTTACCCTAAGGTTAACCCTGTGGATACCGTGAGGCACAGCTGCTTTGCTTGAAGGAACAAGGGGGCTGGACCCCTTCTCAGCAAGGCCAACGCCCATTTTAGAACTAAGAATGATTTGGTGGCAGATTTGGGGCTGGACAAGCCACCAGGGAGCAGATAAATCCTCCAGGAGCAGAGAAAAGTAACATCCCCTAAACAGGGCACGGCTGGAGCACAAGGCAGCAGCACCCACACTCCTTCCCTCAACATCCATCCCCACCAAACCAGAAAGCTTCAGCATTCTCTGCAAAGTTGGAGGGGAAATGAGGTTAAGCCAGCTAATTGACAGCACTGACCTTTCTGGCTCGCTGCGAGTGCAGCCACCAGAACAGGAGCGGCGGCGGCTGAAGGCGATGGGGAGTCAGCTCTTTTTACCTTTTGGGGTTGTGTTTTTCAGAGCCCTTCCTGCCAAGGTTTAAAACCCTGGGTCAGCTCTAAGAGCCGTTTGATGACACAGGCCGCGAAAGAGCTTTAATGGACAGAAGAAAATGAACTTAAGGCGGGCGTGAAACACCAGAGTCCTCCCTCCGGGCACCAGGGAATTCCACTGCTCCGGTGCTCACACACCCAGCCACACGGAGCCTCTGGAAAAGCTCTCCTCCGTTGACAGGAGACATACAAATTTAAACAGGTTCTCTGGTCTGGAGTGAAGAGCAAACTCCACATGCCCCCAAGCCCTGCCCCAGTGCTCCAGGTGTTTATTCCTAACCCACTTTCCTCCCCTCCAAGCAACCAGCCCTGAAGTGCAGGAATGAGTTTTAACCCAAAGTTTTAGGAAATGGGCGCAAACAGGTCCTCAGCTTCACTGGAGCCCCTCATTTCAGCTGTGTTGGTGCTTTGGAAAAACCATCCTCAGCATCCCTATTGCATTTGGTCCTTCCCAGCCCACAGCCCCCAGCTTTGCTGTCAGGGACAGGGAGCACCAAAACAGCCACAAGCAGCAACCCTGCAGTGGGAAGGTGGATCACAAGGAAGACTCTCCCCACACCAGACACTGTGCAGCCCATGGGTGGCAGATCCTCAGCTCTGGAGCTCCCTGCAGCCAAGCTGATGCACTGACATCTATTTAATTCGTGTGCCCCAGCACTCAGCTGTCATTTTATTTCCACGTGCAGCCTGAAATCTCATTGCCTGGCAGGAGCTGTGCCTCCTTTCTGGGTTTCCTAGAAACTTCCTAACCGGCAAAGAGACTTTAATTTGATTTTTTCGCTGCAGTGGCTGCACAAAATCCAGCAAAGTCCCAGTTGGGCGCAGTGGGAACTCCAGTAGGGAGAGATGAAGCAACAGGACTCGTTTCACACAGAGAAAGAAGTTTTTTACCCTTCAGTCCCTCCAAGCTCCATCCTCTACCTCGCCTGGGCAAGACAGAGACCAGTCGAGTGCCTGGGGTCAGCAAGAGTCAGACATCAGGATGTGAACAGCAGCCCTAACCACAGTCAGCACAGCTGAACTTACCGCTACAACACAAAAAAACCCCTTCGCGCCTCGCTTCAGTAACGTGTTGCTTTCTGCCCCTTCCTCCACCCGTTTCTCCAGCTCCAGAAAGGAGGGGAGGAAATCAAAGCAGCGGGTTTTCCTGGTTTAAACGCGCTAAATCCAGAGGAGTTGCCGCTGGAGTTGTGTTTCCCCAGTACCAGGAGTGCTTGGACCACACAGGACATTTCCCGCCAGGGACAGGGAGAATGTACATCCCGAGGATACACTCGGGAAAAGGGGATGTCCCGGGGAGCGCGTATCTCCTGCCTCGCAGCTGGAGGGGCTTGCCTACATCCCGGCCAGGATGCCAGGAGCACGAGGGAAGGAGGCTGGAGGGGCAGCGGGATGGTTTTTAGGAAAAGGAGGGGGGATGGAAAGTCATAAAAGCGCTCGGAAAGTAAATTCGCCTTGGGCTGCGCGGCAGAGCCCGGGCGGCGCCGCTCGGCAGCGACCTGGGGGTGAGCTCCGTGTTCCCTGCCAGAAGAGACTCCCCCAGAAAACACCACCCCAACCCCACGGCTCCAACATCTCCCCACGGGTCAGCGACCTCCCGCCACCGCCTGGGCTACGGGCAGGGGACAGGGCTGAGGGCAGGGGGACACGGCTGAGGGTAGAGGGACAGGGCTGAGGGACAGGGCTGAGGGCAGGGGGACACGGCTGAGGGCAGGGGCACAGGGTTGAGGGCAGGGCGACACGGCTGAGGGTAGAGGGACATGGCTGAGGGTACAGGGACAGGGCTGAGGGTAGGGGGACAGGGCTGAGGGCAGGGGGACACGGCTGAGGGTAGAGGGACAGGGCTGAGGGCAGGGGGACAGGGCTGCGGGCAGGGCTCGGCGGGGCTGCCCGGGCGCGGAGGGCGGGCAGGGCGCTCACCGGGGGACGGGAAGAGCTCGATGTCCACCTTCTCCGTCTTGATGATGGTCAGATCCACCGCCGCCTTCATGGCTGGGGCAGCGCCGCGGGGGCGTCGCGCCGGGAGCGGGGGGCGGCGGCTGAGCCCCGCCGAGCGCGGAGCGGAGCGCTCGGGGCAGCGCGGCCGGCGCTGCCTCCCTCCTCCTCCTCCTCCTCTTCCTCCTGCTGCTGCTGCTCCCGCTCCTCCTCCTCTTCCTCCTTCCTTCCTGCCTCCCTTCCGCGCTCCCTCGCTGCCCTCCCGGCTGCTCTCCCGGCTGCGCTCCGCTCCGCCGCCGCCCCGGCCGGGCTGAGCCGCCGAGGGGAGGGGAGGGGAGGGCGCTGGGCCGGCCCCGAGCGGTGACAGCGGCGGGAGGGACCCGGAGCGGACCCGCCCGCCCCGCCCCGGAGGTGGCCCCGGCCCCGCGGGGAGCGGAGCCGGAGCTGCTGCGGGACATCGGGGGGTCCCGGGGATGCGGGGAGGGGGCAGCGCATCCAGCGCCTCCGCCGCAACCTCTGCGCGCATCGCTGTGCCCAGAACACGACGGGAAAAGAGAGTCTGAGCACGGGGAAAGAGCCCGAGGACGGGGAAATGCCGCTGGCTGCAGCCAGCCCTGGGCTAGAGCCGCAGCAGCCTGTCCAAAACCGATGGTTCTTGAAAACAGGCCAGTTGTCTTCACCCTGCCTGTCTCGACGCGAACTGCTGCCTTTCACGCTCACCCATTCACGCTCCCATCACCCCAGCATTGTCCCATCAACCCCTCACAACTTCCATCATCCCACTTGGAGCAGCCTGATCCTCTCCCACCCTCAAGTGGGGGCACGGGCAGGGCACTGCGGGTGCACATCCTGTAGTGACGTGTTCCCAGGCCTGCTTTGTACAGGTGTGGGGGCCAAAAAGGTTTGGGAACTGACTGGATAAAAAGCATCTCAGAGATGCAAGATGAGTATCATGCCAGCGTGGCATGGAGTTAACAGAAGAATGTCGTTTTTCACATGAAATATGTTTTATTGTATTTAGGTAGCACAAACTTCAGACCACAAACGGCAGAGCAGGAGGGAGATTATGACTCACAGATGTCAACTTACCGGTACAGAGAAAAAAAAAAAAAATCATTAGCAACCAACTCTTGTGGTTCTCTCACTCTGAAAGTCTTTTAACAGCCTCCTGGCAGAGCCTGGGCTGCTCTCAGCAAAGCTGGGCTCAAATGAACACGGGCCTACGTGAGCCAGACATGGGGTTCAAGGTCACCGGGCAAGCCTTGGGATGAAGCAGGGTCCTGCTTGCAAACACCCTCAAAACCTCCCAAGGCCTGCGGGATGAGCTGCAGATGCAAAGGCTGCAGCTCCCAGCACTCAGAGCCCCTGCAGCCCTGCCTTTCTCAGCCCTTCTCAGCCGCCCCAGGGCGTATTTATAGAAGGAAAGTTTGTGCAACTGAAAGAAGCTGCAGGAGGTGCCGGGGCCAGACCTGGAGAGCCCGATTGTGGCTGCACAGCCAAAGCAAGGCAGATAGTTCAAGACACAGCCAGCAGGATGGTTGGAGCTGGCAAAGCCAAGCAGGCATTGAGCTCCAGCCCTAAGTTCATCTCCCAGGCACCTCACCCACTGACAGCCTCTCACGTTTCCGATTTTACAGGCAATCGTGTTTTCAATTTACTTGCAAGCTCAGTTCTGGGCAACTTATTCCTGCAGCAGTGGAGTGGGATCAGCAATTCACGGTGTGACCAATAAATAAACTCCCGCCGCTGGGTCCCGTGGGCTTTGGGGAACCTGAGCCGTGCTCAGGCAGGCACAGGGATTGAAACCTCTGCTGGTGGTTTGAAACCTACCACAGGAATGAACCTGGAAATCCAGAAGTGAAAAGAGAACGGCTGTAGGGCTAAAATGTGGTCCCTGGAGGGATAAAATTGCCTCTCCCATCCAGGATAATGTGCTTGCACCTGCCCTCGGTTTGGGTTTCTTTTCTCTCTTCCCTGTACGGCAACGATTGAAGGGAGAAACTATAGAGAGGAGATTTAGCAGAACATTTCCAGTTGAAAATCAAAAGGGGATTCAGGGGAAACAGCTGCCTTTCTGTCTGATCTCTGCTCCTTTCAGGGCAGGCTGGGGAAGAGAAACCTGATGCATTTATCGCAGCCCCACGATCTCTCCCTTCCTACCCTCGGCTGGGCTGTGATCCCGCGGTGGGAGAGAGGGGAGTGAGTGTGTGAGTGTGTGTGAATGAGTGTGTCAGTATGTGTATGTGTCTGTGTGAGTGTCTGCCTGTCTGTGTGTGTCAGTGTGTGTGTCAGTGTGCCAGTTGCTGCAGGTGCCTGCGGGCAATGGAACCATCAGAGGGCACCTGCGGTCCCACCCGCATGGAAATGACCCGCGGTTGGTAATTCCCCTGCCCAGAGCCAGCAGCAGCACCAGCCACAACCCCCAGCCCAAGCAGGAGAGGAGGAGCTCGGCGAGGTCCCCGTGACTCGCCCCTTTCTTGGGCCGTTTGCTGATGCCACAAGGGGAAGGCTGTGCCGAGCAGGGCTGGGCCGGGCATCCAAAGCAGCAACAGAGGAGGCAGCGGTGTCCCTGTGCTGTCACTGCTTTGGCCTTGCTCCCCTGGGCCGGTGATTTTGGCTCGGCCCCTCCTGCAAACGTTCCCGTCTCGGGGACTGGCTGAACTCCAGTGCACCTGTACTGGGGCTCCTTCCCTCCTGGACCAGTGCAAAGGCTCCAATAAAGATCTTTCTCACAGCTTGTGTGGTTTTTATTAGGAAAGACCCACGCGCTCTTGGCATCCCCGCTCAGCTCTCATCCAGCAAAGCCAGTGACACCAAACCACAGGTTGATGCAGCAGGGCTGTGATGGAGCTTTGAGCTTTGCCTCAGCCCCCTCGTGTTCCCCCCAAAATTTCATTTCGCTGTTGCGATTCATGACAGCCCCCAGGCACAGGGAAAGCAGAAACGCTTCCAAAGCAGCGCCGGGGGAAAACCCCCCAAAGCGGAGGAAAAGCAGGGAGTGGCTGCGGGCAGAGGTTTCCTCCCGGGGCAGCTGCATCTCTCCCTCGAACCCGGCTCCGTCCTAACAGCCGCCTTAATTTGTGTTCACTTCAGAGCCCGCGACATGAAAGGGCTGGCTCTGAGCTCCAGCTGAGCCGCTCAATGGCTCAGTGTTCGCACAAGGCATGGAAGGAATCCATCGCTTAGTTTCTTCAGCTGGGATGTGACCATTTGGAGCCCAAGACCTGCCAAACATGACTTCGCCTCGGCAACTGGTTCCTATTTGCTGCTCACGGGCTTTAGAAAAATCTTTCCTCTTCCGCATCCAAGTCTCACCCTCCTTTTCCATTCTGGTGACAACGTGAGTGTCTCCTGCGGCTCTCTCCTGTGGAGGGAGGATGCCGGGCTGAGGAGAACAGCCCTCCTGCCATTAACGTGGCCAAAAGATGGGAGATAACCATCTGCCCTCCCTCCACAATGCAGCCCGGCTGTTTTCCAGCACTTTTGGGAACAAAGAAAGGACGGGCAGTAATGCCACATTGTTCCCAGGGACGCTGACTAACCTTGGGTTAAAAGAATAATAATTATTATTCCCTTAGCACTGAGGAAAGGTGTCACAGAGCCCAGCCCTCTCCGGGCTTTCTGGGCTACTCTTCCACGACCTCTCTCCGAGCTCTTGCCCTTTGCCAGCCTCAAATTCACCCCTGTCCTAGCCCAGGGCAGCTGCTGGCTGTCCTCAAAATGTTACAGAGCTGGGACAGCTTCTCCTTTCCCTTGGATTTACCCCTTCCCATTCCAGCAGGAATTAGGTGTAACTCCTGGTCTAGAGAAGCTTTTCCAAGCCACCTCTGGGGTGAAACACAACGGAGCATCCACCCAGCTGTAATGGCCAGGAAATGAAGAACACCATATCCAATTAAAACTGCAGGGGGATATTTATGGCAGAACGTAATTAGCCAAATTGGAGCCTTCCCCAAAACTGCCATGGGATTTTTAATGACCTCGAGCGGCCAGGGATTCGTTTTGATGTTTTGTCAAAGTAAACAATATCCAGAGGGCTTGAGACAAAAATCAGGAGCAAAGGGGAAGGGGAAAAAAAAAAAAAAAAAGAAAAAGAAAAAAAAAGGGCTCTGCAAATCCAGGGAGAAACGGAGACATGAAAGGATTTATCGTAAGGGGACATTGTTGGAAAGAGCAGCAGCCACCACTCCAAGAAAGGAAAGAGCAGGGAGGTGGCCCTGGGTGTGGAGGTGGCCCTCTGCAATGAGAGGAAAGAGCAGGCAGCTGCCACAGCCATTCCCCGGGGATTTACCTTTCCTGGAATTTAAAATGATACCAGAAATCCTTTCAAGCTGGGAAGTGTTTGAGTCACTTGTTTTACGGCGGTAGAAGGAGGCTGGGTTAGTCCTGGTGACTCCAGCATGGAAACAGAGGCATGGAGAGAGAGCTGGTTCCTCAGCAGGTCCCGCCGTGCCCCGTGGCTGCTCTCAGAGCCAGTGTTTGTGCTGAGCAGCACCAGGGCCTCGGCTCCTCCGTGACCCACATGGCTGGGGCCCCCAGGGTGCCCTCTCTGCTCTGTGCTCCGGGGCTGCAGCCACACAGAGTCCCATCCTGGGGGCTGCCACATGAAAACCGGTTTCTGTTCCCGCTGGAGATGCAGCTCCAGGCCCCGGCTCAGCCCTGAGACACCACCACAATGCCCTCCTCTGATTGCCCTCCAGGAAGCCGCCTCCGAGCCTCCCTGGCTCCTCTGTCATTAACTTCCCAGCAGAGATGGCTCACAAAAGCAGCTTTGTGGCCAGCCAGGGGTCAGGACTAGCACACACATCCCCACACGGAGCCACGGCCTCTTCCACGCCACGGGCACCTCGCTCAAGCCTCAAAAGCTGACTGAGCATCTTCAGGTGCCTCCTGCTGTTGGTTTCCCAGAGCTCCCATGCTGGTCCATAACCTGATTAGCTGCTCTGGGCTCCAGCACTGTAATTCTGCCTGGAATGTTGTTGGTGGGGGGTGCTGTCACTCTTTTCCCTGCTGGAAGAAGTGGCTGGATGGAAAATCCTCGTAAGCTGTTCTGCACTCTCTGTACATTTTCCCTCTCCCCTCAAGTAACAGCACTGAGCTCCTGGTAAATAAAACCTGAGGGTTTTTTGCTCTTTAACTCTTGCTGGTCACAATTACTCAGAGCACATGCAGGTGATAC